CTTGGGTTGCAGAGTTCAGAAAAAATCCGACTTTGGAGGTACATTCCCTAGGGGTACATATTTTGGGGGGAGAAGTTTTTTAAAATATATATCATGATGAAAAAGAATTCGTTTGCCATATCCTGTTTCGATGGTGTAGCGGTAACACATCGGGCAGATGATCAGGAGGCCCGTGTTCAATTCCCACCAATACCGTGCCTTTAAATTTCTTCTTTTGCCTTCCATGTCCCGTTGCTTGGATAAAACGGAGAGAAATGGAAAGCTAAAACGTGGCATGGACGTGCCTAACGAAACGATGAGTTCATGAGAAATGCAACTCATTAGATCCATGCCCTGGGGGGCATATTCTTGAGGGGCTAACGTTTTCAATATTTCTTTGGCCTGGTGTATTGAGCTAGTGTGAAAGGTGAAACTTGGTACTTAATTACCTACTGGGATGTTGCATGCAGAAAAATTCGGACTTTGGAATGAAAGGCCTAGGGGGCATGAATTTCAAAGGGTGATGTTTTCACATAAGTTTTTGCATTAGTTAAACCGATCGAAATGGAAAGCTGGAACTTTTGATGAATGTGACTACCAAGATAAGGAGTTAACAAGAAATGTTGATCCTTGATACATCCCCGGGGAGAAAATTTCTCGAGGAGCGATGTTTAAAAAAAAGAAATTGTCCGGGCGAATTGGACAGAAATGGGAAGGTGAAACTTGGCACACGTATAAATGACGTGATATTATTGAGTTGAGGGAGTATTCAGCTTTCTTGGTGCATCCCCTCCGGGCATTGCTTTTGGGTGGGTCGGCTTTTTCAAACATGATTTTTCACCAGCAAAAAATCAAACGTTTAATATTGAAACTTTGTGGGCATGTAGTTCAGTGAGGTTTGATTTCGGTAATAATGGTACTTTTCGGTTAAAACGCCTGAGGGCACATATTTTGCAAATTTTCCTGAAATTTCTGATCCAGGAAAACGGAGCGTGCTAGAAAGTTTAAATTTGGCAAAGAAGTACCTGATGAATAGCTGGGTAAAGAAACAATTCTACTTTCATATTATATATAGATGATTGTGAGTAGCTGACTGACTCACATAAGTAGCTATTCACATGCTGAGTTCAGGAAATATTCCACTTTGGTGATGCACGCCATAGGGGCACACCTTCTCGGGGAACATATTTTCAAATTCTCTTCAAAAGTTCTCTTTGTTTCAATTAAACGGAGACCCATGGAAAGCTGTAACATGGNCATAAGTAGCTATTCACATGCTGAGTTCAGGAAATATTCCACTTTGGTGATGCACGCCATAGGGGCACACCTTCTCGGGGAACATATTTTCAAATTCTCTTCAAAAGTTCTCTTTGTTTCAATTAAAGGGAGACCCATGGAAAGCTGTAACACGACAAGAACGTGACTCTTGAAGCACCTAGCTCAAATGTCAAATGTCGAATTTTCGAAATATTATTGGGGGGCATTTTTTTGGGGGACGTAACGTTTTCAAAGAATTATTCATATCCTAGCGAATCGGGCAGAAATAGAAAAATAGCAGCTGGCGCAACCATAACGGACGTGATGTTGATTTAAGGAAAATTTCAACTTTTGTTAAGCGTCTCCCCAGACCACAGCCTTTGGGTGTGTTGCCTCCCCAAATATATGTTCTTACCGCCAGTAAAAAGTGGAAACGTATTAGGTTGAAACTGGGTGTCATGGAGTTCCCTGAGTCTATATTTCAGAATTAAAGAAATTTTGTGGAAACCCCTCAGTGCATTTTTTCAGTCCCATTTTCCTGATTTTGTTTTTGATTGAACGAAACAGAACTTAAACCTCCCTCAGAAGTGCCTGTTTGATGGCTGAGTAGAGGAAAAATCCTACTTTTGAAAAATGTTCCCTTAGCGTAGATTTTATTATGGAAGTATTTCAAAATTTATTCTCTATCTTTACAAAAAGGGACACAAGAAAAGATTTCAAGTTAGGCACTATATAAATCATATAGATGAAGATTTTGATAAAAATCAAGACTTTTGTCACCATATATCACGTAATTCAATGGGGACGTACTTTACGTGTTTCCCATTTCGGAAGGAATAAATGAATTAATGACTCTCCAAGGTAATGGAGCGCCGAAGGCGCAACGAATGCGATTTTGTTTGCCCGAAGGGCGAACAAACTCGCTAGTATATACATATAGCTTACAGTACGCATGGATATTCTGCTCCTAAACACCATCAGCATGATATTCGAGCTGAATGTCACAATCGCCATTGTGAACGTCTCGGTTTAGCACGTTTTCATGGCTGATTTCATCTTCCCAAAATATTCAACACTCTTGCATCACCGATTAGCTCATCGGCTATTGGCGTTGGCGTATGGTTCAGACATCAGTGATTCTGAAACAGTACGGACCGTTTCCAAGAAATTGTTCGATGGCACAGAGGGAAGTAAGTGCACGTGCGGCACAATGCTAAAGACTTATTCCTGAAAATGCCTACCTTGCATCAAATTGCTTAGCAGGCTGCACGGCTCTCATATTCCGAAGCTCAGCATTCACTGCCTCTTGCTGTTCAGCGGTCTGAGCGGCCCTAAGCTCCCTACGTACATGTGCTTGTTATTTATTACCGATTCTAGCCATTACGGCTGGCACCGTTTTAGTCACTTCGTACTGCAACTGCCGTGAACAAGTTTCAATTAAGGTTTTAATATTTCAATTTGCCATACTCATGTGTTTGCACTGAATTTGGCCATTATATTGCGTATTTAGGTGACTCATGGCAGTTATTTTCCAAATTTGCCCAAAGCACAAAGAAAATTCATGTAAAATTGTAAAGCGTCCCCCTTGTTCGAGGAAAAATATATCCAACCACAGCAATTTCTGTTGAAGCCCTCCTCAGGCATGCAGACAATCGAGGTGCACCATGGCATGCCTTTGTCAAGTCCATCTTGTTTTAAGGAAATTTCACAGTGTAAAGCCACCTGTCAGGCGTTTTCATGCCATATGTATAATGAGTCCGTTGATATCCTTATATATTCAGTTGTTGTCAGAAAAACAATTTTTGGCCTTTCTTGAGTCGGATGAAGAAAAACATGCATTTGTGTAGAATGGAGCAAAAATTGAGGTCATTATATCAAGAACTATTATATGTTGATTGCATAGCTAATTGGAAGCAAAGTTGATGACCTTCAATTCTTCTCCCAAAGGGAATAGTTGCCAAATGGCACTAGTTCCCTTTGGTCTATCGTATGGTAGTGCGCATGCTCCAGACCGAAGGAATTTTGTGCCATTTGGCATGTATCCCCTTTCTCCAGAGCAAGTTATGGCGCCTGCTCCAGACTGAAGGGAAAAAGTGCCTAATGGCACAGATTCCCTTTGGTGTATGGCACATGCTTCAGACTAAAGGGAATCGGTGCCATTTGGCACCTTTTCCCTTTAGTCTGGCTCCAATTATTCCTTTCGGACAGCATATCATATGGGCTCCTTGAATAGCATCAATTTTTTCATGAAGTTCTTACAAGATCTCATTAAGCAGGAAATACGAAAAAAATAAATGGAAGATTTTGAGTCAATAAAAAAGTAGAAGAACTCTTCTTTGATGTTCAAAGTAATTCTTTCATTAAATGTCTGTAGCATCTTATTTGTTGCAAGGGTAATGTGGAAAAATTTAATTTGAAAAAAGGGAAATTGTTCCAATGCATGGGGAAACAGAAACAACTTCATTATTTTCTAGACAAGCAATGAACATGGAAATCATTCAAGAGCGTTCAATCATTCAATCAAATGAAGATTTCAAGCATTTCATTTTGCACTTAAACACACAGGCCAGAATCGATAACATTGGATTCGCACAAAAGGAGTCCCAAACACCACAAAAGTCTTCAATATCTTGGAATTGCAGATGTGAAGTGACGCAGGATGTTCACCGCCCTCCAAGAATGAGATTGAACTCTGCAACTCCCATCACCTTCAGCCTCCATGAAATCACATTCTGTTAGGGAGAAGGTTTATGGATCAGTCATATTTTCCGATCTCTCAATATTATTTACTGTGAGATCTGGTATGCATCATGCAGAACTGACCAACAAATTTTTCACATTAAATTAAGCACAGCAGGGTCCTTTATGAATCCAACCTCATCAAGGCAAAAATGAATGTGCATCCTCTCCTGGTTTTTCCAAAGGGCCACATTTTCTGGGGGTGAAGAAGGCTTGCATATCATTCCCGAGCAGCGTCTGGAGAGCCTTTTGCCTACCTGTGAGTAAATGTGGTCCAAGTTCCATTAGGGAAAATAATGTAAGAAGATAAGGAGGTATCACCAAGAATGAATACTTCGAACCTTTTCCCAGGGATGAAATGGTGTTGGTCCTTCTGAAGAGCTGGTTCCTCAAGCCCTCTCAGTATAGCATGAGGGTTCAGCAGGAAAGAAGTTCTTTACCGGCGAGGAGCATGGACCTACAGTTCAGACCAGCCAAGTTCGTTCGTCATCGAAAAACCCATCGGTTAGAGATGTCACTGGACCTGTCAAGATGAAAAAATGCCTCATGAAAAATATTTTCCTTAATGCACAAAAAAAGCTAGTTTAAAATTTTTATTAAAAAATGTTATTCCCCTTATCCACGTGTAGGGCTTCTTGTGGTCCCAATCGTGCTCGTCCTCGGTCGTCATTGGCCTAAGGAAAAATAGCAAATGAACTGTAAGATGAAAGGAAAGATATCATCTCCTGTTCTTGCAACATCTATGGCCTAATTCCTAGCACCTTATTTTAAAACAGTCTCTTTGCAAACAATGTAATGGAGATGCGCTTATTCTTTCAATTCATTATTCCCCAGGAATCTCGAATTACCAAGCTAAGTGAAACATACCGATAGTCTGGAGTAAATCTGGACTTTCGGTTTCTAGCAAATCTTCATCAAAGGCTCCCAATGTGTTGTCTCCTAAACTGTCCATACTAGAAGAGAAGAAGTCATGTTTTATTGAATAATACCTGGAATATTTATGTTGATATTCAAATTCAAAAAAGCTACTCTGTCTGGGGTTCTTGCATAGTGTCTCTGACTTCCTGCACCTGAGGAATGTCAGGGCTATTATTTCTTGGGTCCAATCCCAACTCCAAATCGACCAATGACAGTAATTTCAACTGGGCAGGCAAGTCAACTGTTCCTGATTTGTTAATGAGAAATGAGGGAACTTATTACCATCATTCTTCCATAATACCATGGATATTTTTGCTAATCATAGCACATAGAATTACTCACGAATCCATCTGACACTGCATAAGATCCAACCCTGTGAATTTCCAACTGTGGCTTCCAGGAACTCCTTCATTGTCACAATCGAGGTGCTCAGGGATATACGACACTTGCTACCGATGATTGCCAGGGTATGTGTCCTGTGAAACAGCTCACCTGGAATTCGTAAAAAGTTTATTTAAAATGATCAATATTAAGCACAAGAGATAACAGAACCCTTTTGCAACCAATATGGTTTCACTTTGCACTTCAAATGACTTCCAATAAATTCCCAATGGGGTTACCTTCACTTGCTCTCCCGAGGAGAACTAGAGTGTCAGTCTTGACATTCATACTCTTCATCCTCTCTTTTATTTGGCCAGCTTCTGATTCACTGTCCACCAGAAAAGCAGTTGGTATAAACTTTTCCCCTTGGAACCTGCATTGGTGAGCATGGAGTCCCAAAAGACATCTTTCGGGTTCTTCTGCAGTCTATTAGGAAAGAATATAGTTACTGTATTTTTCAGTTACCCTTCCTTGAGCATGTTCAAAAGTCAGAAGATGGGAGATTCCCACCTGGACAAAAAAGACTGCTCCAACAAGAGGTTCATGGAATGAACTGTCAGGAATTTGCAATGGGTCTCCCAAGAGAATCTTCTCTTCAGCACCTTCTACTCTGTGATCTTTCAGTAACCTCCCCTTCAATGCATAAACGAATGTAGGCCTTCCATTCACCAGATTTCTCGAGGTCCTTCAGAGTCATGAATGGCTGTAATGCTTCATCTGAGACATGATCACGGTATGTCGCCATCTCTTCCTCCTCACTCATTCCAGCATGTCTTTATAAGAAAAAGGACAGAATTGCATAATTAAAAATGTAATTGGATATCGATAAAATTTTGAACTGCGATGATAAGGTGACACCTGATGAAAGATTGCAGGAGCTTATTTTTTGGATGACTTCTTCCAGTTTCTTCTCCAGATTTTTGAAGTCGCTCCCACTCTTCACATATTCCAGGTTTTCCTGGAAATTGAACAGATAACACATTGGAATTGACTCACATACAATGACAAATATGAATTTCATAATATTACATCCCAATACTATGTGCAACAAATGGGAGCAGAATTAATATCAAGATGGCAGTGAATGATTTTTGAAAGGCTTTATTGAGGACTCAGAATATCGGCACAATGCAGTCCAAGGAGTCCTATTGTTAACCCGTTGCTACACGATGTCTGAAAGGCTTAAAGAAAAAGTATGTTTCCTGCACATTTGCCTAAATTCAAAGAAATTCTGCAAATAGTCAAAATTAGATTATTTTAACTGGAATTTTGATTTTGCAAAATGGGAGAACTTTTCAAAGGAGATAAATTGCAACATGGAAGAATATTCTGCGTCAAATGAGCTTCACTTGATTTTATCTCAAAAACCACAATGTGATTCCTCCAAGAGGACGTCACTAGGATGAGTAAAGAATAAATCTAGTCAATATCTTGCTTGTTTAGCAAAGGGAAAAGCGGAACAAATCAATATTCAATTTCTATGCTTCAGGCCATTGGGTAAGTATCTAATGCCTTCAATCCATGCATGACATGAAATTCATGAGTTTCTTCTCCAGATTTTTGAAGTCGCTCCCACTCTTCACATGTTCCAGGTTTTCCTGTAAATTGAACAGATAACACATTGGAATTGACTCACATACAATGACAAATATGAATTTCATAATATTACACCACAATACTATGTGCAACAAATGGGAGCAGAATTAATATCAAGATGGCAGTGAATGATTCTTGAAAGGCTTCATTGAGGACTCAGAATATCGGCACAATGCAGTCCAAGGAGGCCTATTGTTAACCCGTTGCTACACGATGCCTGAAAGGCTTGAAGAAAAAGTAGGTTTCTTGTACATTTGCCTAAATTCAAAAAAATTCTGCAAATAGCCAAAATTAGATTATTTTAACTGGAATTTTGAATTTGCAAAATGGGAGAACTTTTCAAAGGAGATAAGTTGCAAGATGGATGAATATTCTGTGTCAAATGAGCTTCACTTGATTTTATCTCAAATACCACAATGTGAATCCTCCAAGAGGACGTCACTAGGATGAGTAAAGAAGAAATCTAGTCAATATCTTGCTTGTTTAGCAAAGGGAAAAGCAGAACAAATCAATATTCAATTTCTATGCTACAGACCATAGGCTAAGTATCTAATGCCTTCAATCCATGCATGACATGAAATTCATGTCTTATCAGTGGGGGTTACTTAAAAACAAAAATTAGAAACGCTAGCAAGAAGTCGCTTCTTTTGATGTGAGGGTTCCCAAGCTTCCGTTGACAGTACAGCTTTTTCCCCACTCGACCTGGCTCCTTCTCAATTTCTCTCGCCACCAACAGAAACTACTCTACAGCTTCCTCTCCCAAGTTGATCAAGTTGTTGATGACTTGATATATCCTATTTCCCTGGAATAATGAAATACAGTCACCAAATTGTATTGACCCCCGAGAATTGTATTAGGGGCCATTTACAGAAGTTTTCTTCGGTTCTGAAACTTGGGTGACTTAACAGTTCAGGATAAATGCCCTTTTTTAAAAAAAACACGCATTCTTACATAACAGGATCCACACCTGTGTTGCACAGGTGTGGATCCTGTTATATATTTCAAATTCTGCAAAATATCAGAATTTCTAGAGAATAACTGCTGAAATAAACTTCCTGAAAGAATTTCATCAATTCCAAGTTGCTTGCTTGCAAATATCAGATGTACTATTGTGAGATGTTGCGATTCAGGTATAGGTCAAGAAGAAAACGGGAAACTTGATCATTTCAAAGGGGTCAACGGGCCTACATTAATACATTTGGCATGAAACTTGGCACAAAAAAAATCCTCGAGACTCCCTTTGAACTTAGACGGGACTTTCAGAGACCTCCAAACATGTGAAAAGTATTCTTCGTTGTTCCATTGTAAATTGCGAAGCCTTTTCGGAGAGCGAAAGCAAATTAAATGATATTTTTTGTTTCTTGAGTCTATCCGAAGTTAGGAGTGTAAAGGGAAGATGGGAGAATATCATGGAAGTAATGGAAGAAGCATGTCCATTCCTGTGAGGATAAGGAGAGAAGATCTGCAGTAAATGAATATTTTTTGTTTCTTGAGTCTATCCGAAGTTAGGAGTGTAAAGGGAAGATGGGAGAATATCATGGAAGTAATGGAAGAAGTATGTCCATTCCTGTGAGGATAAGGAGAGAAGATCTGCAGTAAATGAAATATTTACCTTGACGATGTCTCTATAAGCATTCCTGATATGCGCTGAGTTCTCTGCAGCCCGGTGAAGTTCCAAGCATTTCTGCAGCTGCAAGAGGATAAGACACTGTTAAATCCCCATATCTAAGATTCAAAACTCCTCATTTGTGGTATGGTATTAAGGAGAGCAATCAATAACATTGACTTCTTATTTCTTCCAATTCCAGCTAGCTTAATGCAAAAACCTCAACTCCTTCAATTAGCACTGTTTCATGCTATTTCCTTTGAGGTTAGTTTCTTGAGAATATTTTAAAAAGAAGAAAAACCTGACATCTTACAACATCAAGTACATCATAGGGAACTCCTTCAAGCTTGGCGTTGTGGAGGGCCAGGATCCTTTTCTCCACTTCGTCGACTCCCATGTAGATAGCACATACACAGCTGTCCTTCCCATGTTCTGCCTCCTCATGGAGCTCCTTCCGTGCCATTAGGACATGTTGGCCAGCTACCACTTCATAATGGTATGCATGCCTCTGGGGAAATAATTCACAAATACCTTGAATTATGTCCAATACACCGAAGTAAACCCTACTTAAGTAAGGGTGAAAAAATGTATTAAAAAACCGGTGCCTCAGCGTTCGAGCAACCAATGAAAAGAGGCAACATCTAGGAAAGAGAGAGTATCTTAAACAATTCCAATGAACAAAAATTTCGTGTTTTCCCTGTCAGTTTTTGGTGGTGAATATGATAGAGTAAGAGGAGGCGCACTTAGTAGTGTGGAGGATCCTTAGAAAAAGCTTCACAAATTTTATTGGCGGTGTTGGCGATGCCCTGGGTCGGATTAAGGGAGGGGGGGGAAGGGCAAAGGGGGCTGTTGCCCCAGGCTCCATTTTCCATGGGGATCCGAAGGAAATTCAAATCGTAAAGCATTTGCTTAAAGCAGCGAGGGGTGGAGAGGGGTAAAGAATCCAATCCAGGTCTCACAACTTCTTAATCCGGCCCTGCCGATACCAAATTTTTAAGGCTGAAAATAGCGGGAAAGAAGCCTGGAGAGTAATTATTGCACGTACTCCATGCTCTACGATGGATGCACATCGTAATGGAGCAATGAATCAAACAACTAAAAAAAACTGACGTTCCAGGCGGAATATTAAGGAGTAAACTCATTTTCTGATTACATTAAATTAACCTTGGCACAACTCCGCTTTCGTTAACTTACTCTTTTTCTTATTCCTTTCTTCATCTTCCCGTTTATTACTTCAACTTGTAAGTCCCAAAACTTACATTATTTGAAAATTCCTTTATGATGAAGCAACACTAA